TGTTCTTTAATTGTGTCCATCACCACTTTATTGCCATCAGCAAGTGGTCATACAGTTGGAGACATCTCAAACAACCCATCTGTAATTCTCTAACTAGCAACCAAAATTTGTGAACTATTTCAGAGCACAGCTGTAATAGAACTGAAATTGTAAAACGCGGGATCTCTACTCTTCAGAAGGAAGAAGTGACACTATACCGACTTATTTTTGAAATATTTATAATTTTAAATGAAGTCCAACAATCCGTGGGTGCATCGTTACAGGAAGAAAGTCATAAAGTTGAAGAAGCTCTAACTTCTAACAAACAGGGGCAAATACTAAAACAGAGTTATAAAAGACAGGGAAACCCATGCTAATCCCTGCAGTTTTAGGGAAAAGCACGTACACAGAACATGCGGCAAGCATATCAAAGAACTTTAATTATTTCTTGCATCCTGTTGTGTATTTAATCAATATTAGGGTTAATTTCACCGACCACACAACACGTTTTTATTATTGTCACACTACATGTTTCGACCTCAAGAGGTCATCCTCAGGTGTACGAACACAGTTGCACAATCACACACAATCACATTCGTTTTCCACTTATTTCGATCCTGTATCCTGTTCAGGCCTATGCTCAATAATATATGTCAAGTTCTTCTTATAACATACAAGTTAAAATACTATTCAAATGTTAAAAGTCAAAATTTTTTTTTCGTGAGTCAAAGTTCAATTTCACTCACTGGTTATACTTTCACATTCACTTGTTTTCTCTCTGTTTTCTCACTTTAACTTGTTATATTATTACCACTGGTTAAAAAGTTCATGAGTTAAAGTTAATACATACATATGCATATAAGCTCACCAACGAAGGAAAAATAAAAGAAGGTATTATAACTCATATACTTGTAAATAATGAATATTCACCATATATGAGAAATCACAATACGAAACCACCTAACAACAACACACCACAGAAGAAAAAGTGGACCAAACTTACATACTTCGGCCCCAGCATTAGAAGAATCACTAAGCTATTTCGTAATACCAACATAAAAATAGCTTTCAAAACAAATAATACAATAAAAAGTTCCTAAGAACAAAACACGAAACGACAGATAAATACAGCCTTTGTGGAATATACCAGATGACGTGTAAAGATTGTGACCTAAAATACGTCGGCCAAACAGGACGTAATTTCGGAACAAGATACAAAGAACACATCAGGGAAATAAAAACGAATGGGCAGAAATCAAAATTCGCTCAACATATACTGGACACAACGCATAATTATCATACCATAGACAAAGCAATGGAAATACTCCACATAGAAAAGAAAGGAAAGATGTTGAACACACTAGAAGGCTTCCACACATATATGAATTAACTAAGCAAAATCTACAAATGAATGAAGCTTTGACTGATATAGTTACAACCAAATTTATGATATCCTAATAAAAACAAATCAGACGCAAGTAATATAATATATCCCAAAACCACCTACTTATCTTCTCAGAATCCCACCCNTGGTAATAATATAACTAGTTAAAGTGAACTACACACAGAGAAAAGAAGTGAATGTGAAAGTATAACCAGTGATTGAAATTGAACTTCGACTGACGAAAAAATTGTTTAAAATTTTAAATTTTAACTTTTAACATTTGAATAGTATTTTAACTTGTATTTTATAAGAAGAACTTGACATATATTATTGAGCGTAGGCCTGAACAGGATACAGGATCGAAATAAGTGGAAAACGAATGTGATTGCGTGTGATTGTGCAACTGTGTTCGTACACCTGAGGATGACCTCTTGAGGTCGAAACATGTAGTGTGACAATAATAAAAACGTGTTGTGTGGTCGGTGAAATTAACCCTAATATTGATTAAATACACAACAGGATGCAAGAAATAATTAAAGTTCTTTGATATGCTTGCCGCATGTTCTGTGTACGTGCTTTTCCCTAAAACNCATTTCTCAGAATACAACATTACTGTACATAAAAAATCACAGCATGTAATAAAGAATAAACCAGCATCATCTTATTTAATCAGGGCAGTGGCTGAGAATAAAATACAAGCATATGAAACACGGTAACTGGGATAAAATAAAACGAATACAATTTGACAATTAATTTCTTACAATAGGTAAAAGTTCGCGTCACACCTTTCACCTTGTGATGGCACACCGGTTGCGGAACACTGGCTTACTTCATCACCTGGGTCAGTTCTTCATGGAACCAAGTGACTTTTATGATGATCCCATAAACAAAGCCCTACATTTCGTTTGAGGTGTAGGATTGATAAAGTGTTAACTAAAAAGGGGGAAGCACAATAGATCACTGAAGGTCTCAGTGCGAGGGCCAGATTTTATGGCCCAACCCTTTCACACATAGACACATACATGTCATTTCAGACTATATGACACTAAAATTGAACAGAATAAATTCCAAAGAGGTCAGTGATTCTAACCATCCCTGCTTCTCTGTGGCCTCTCTCCAGTTCAAGAAAATGAACCTGATAGCAATATCTGCAGTAAACAAAGAGAGCACAAAATTTATCCATTACATAACTCAAGTCTTGATGATTTGAAAAGATTACTGAATTCTTTCAAGTGACAGCACATAACATTTATGAGATTCTGGTGGAGTTTTAATGTGTGAAATTGCAAAAAACAAGAATACCCACTTAGTAGATCCATCATTTAAAGGACAGCTCATAAATTATTTCCAATTCTTTTTAATAGCCTGGTAATGCTCTTCATATTAGTGTCTTTCCTTTCTTATAGACAAATAATGTAAACAAACAAATGTGGTCCAGAAAAATTCATCCATAGATTTAATGAATAAATATGTTCCTGGTGCCTTTATGTGCCTGCGTACTTGTGAACTCGCACATCCTATGTCCATTACATTCTGTATCTACTGGTATTTTGTATCCCTTGCTGCAAAACAATAGTTTCATTCTACATTTTACTTTCCTTCAGTCTTGAGAAAATCATTAATGGCAGGCTTGTCTGGCCAAATGTGGCAGAAAGACCGCAGGAAAATTAGACATCAGTCTCGCAAAACATTTCAAAGGCCTCATATATCCTGACCTTAGCATCTGCATTGTACAATTATCTTATTCTGAATCATGGCTGATATCTCTAAAAGCTCTGGCATTTCATGCTAGTGACTGTTTTCAGTTTGATGTTTTATTCCTCTGGTTTAAACTTGTTCATTTTGCCTTTGTCAAAAGCAGCAGACAGACTCCAAAAGTATATTTATATCTAATATGTGAGACATACCAAATGGCTATAAATATTTAGATTTTTACATTCCATTTTCTCTCCTGTAAATCACGGATAATCCTAACATTTTAGATTTATTCTCCCCCCCCCCTAAAAATGATTTTGGGGTAAAAAAAGAATTAAATCTAACAAATGTACATCTTTTCTAAATACAGTAGAGAAGACCGAACCCTATTACACACACTTGAGCCTCAAGAGACTGTAAATTCTAACAACCTACACCCAAACTCAGACATAGCATAGCTGTATTTACTAATGTATTAATGTGTTTTTCAAATTCCCCCTTCAAAAAAACCTTTACTGGTGGCCAAATCTTTGATGGTGATTTTGTAGGATGATAATTTTTGGAGTGGGAAAGCTGTAAAGGAATAATTATAATCTGCTTTTGAGACCCAGTTAGGAATTGAGAATATAGCAGACACAAACACATATATATTGCCAGATTTATTCTGAATCAAGTATTTTTCTCTTGCAACAGGATGCAGCACATTTCATAACATCACTCTGCAATATCGCCATACTTATCTGAACTACTAGGTGGTTCAAATACGACCAGGACTGATTTTTTTTGTAAATAAGCAGCACTGCGCAGCAGCTGTGAGACCTTGAGAGAGTGAAGCCACAACCTCCACCCTCCCTCCTGTTAGGGTTAGAACCTGTTCAGTCTTGTCTGGAAGTTGCTAGAGTGATGAGTGATCAGAAGGTACCACGGAGCTTGGCACAATGCACTGTGATCAAATTCCTCGTTGGATAAAACGTCCCATCCGCTGAAATTCACCACAGACTCCAACAACAGTATGGGGAAGAGTGTCTCTCACGGACCCGTGTGTTTGAGTGGTGTAAGTGCTTCAGAGGGGGCAGAGAGCGCGTGGAGAATGAACCGCATGATTGTCGGCCACAAACATCTGTCACCAAGCCAAACACTGATTCGTGCAGACGCACTTATTCATGAGAATAGGCGCATCACTATCAAGGAACTTGGAGCAATGCTGTCCATCAGTGTTGGTAGTGTAGAAGACATCATGAAATACCACCTGCACTATCGCAAGGTGAATGCACGGTGGTTACCACACACTTTGACGGATCTGAACAAAATGGTGCACATGCTGTCTCCTACAGCAGTTTGAAGACGAATGTGATATATTTTTGAAGTCTATAGTGACCACCGATGAAACGTAGGTACACTACTTCATTCCCGAGTCCCAGCAATCATCATGTGAGTGGCGGCATACCAGTTCTCCCAAACCCAAGAGAGCTTGGAGGAGCCGTTCAGCAGAAAACGTGATGTCAACGTTCTTCTGGGACTGGCAGGGGGTTATCCATGTAGACTTTGACAGATGCCAGAACAGTCAATGCAGCTTATTACTCAAACCTCCTGGCAACAGATGTGAAGGAAAAGATCCGATCCAAGCGGAAGAGAGGTGGAAAGCGGGTAGCCTTCCTTCAAGACAATGCACGCCCCCATACGGCCAAAACAACAATGGAAACCCTCCGGAAACTGAAATTGAACCTTCTGACACATCCACTGTACAATCCCGATTTGGCATCAAGTGATTTCTACCTGTTCGGAAGGCTCAAATCAGACTTGCAAGGCATGCGGTTTGTGGACAACGACGCTGTCATCCAGAATGTTCAGGAGTGGATACGCTGCCAACCACAAAACTTTTTTGAAAAGGGCATCAGGATGCTTCCAGAACATTGGAAAAAATGTGTTGACTCCGGAGGGGAGTACATTGAAGACTGACATGTGCAAGTAAGTGTTTGGCAATTTTGGTTTAAAAAAAAAAACAGTCCCGGTCATATTCGAACCACCTTGTATTATAGGTACATGTACATAATTTTCATACGTTCTTCTTACTCCCAAGTCCAGATGCCATCACACTGTTTGATGGTATCCATATTCTCCCTTCGTGATCGTGTTACTGCGCTGGCTTCTCCCTTCACTGTAATTCTCTTTTTCTGGGCAGATTTCTCACGTCGCACTAAAGACTTTTTCACCCGGCTACGAATCTCTTCCGGAGCTATGGTGGCTGCTGTGGAGGTGCTGCGTATGCTACATGTATTGCTATACAATCGAACCCTTCCATGTGTACATTCTTCTACACAATTTAATTCACCAGCCAAGCAATGAGAATTTCTTTCCACCTTCACAGTTTCTTCAGCCTGCAACATCTCACTGTTAATAGAATCACCCTTTGTTGCAACCACATCCAGATTCCACCTGTCTGCGCCAGATTCTGAATTAATATTAATACTAGGTTCTTCACAACATTTGTTCTGATCTTCAGAGTGAAATTCATTAGTTAACATATCTTCTACTTTCTTTCTTAAATATTCAACTTCTGAACCTTTAGTTACTGTTTCTAATTCCTTCTCCACTTCCTCACTTCCACTATCGTCATCATCTTTTTCGATTCCCATTTCAATATTCAGATCTCTTTCCATCTGGCATGTGATGCCACTGGCCGATACTTCCACATCCAAATTATCTTCCCTCCTAAAAAGGAAACTACATAATTAAAGACAAAATTAAGTTTTAATAATACAATGTAATTAAAACAAAGCTTATTTTACATACAAGTAAAATTCAGTATAGTAAAATCCTATTATTTTAATATATTAAATAGTGTTAACTACTAAGCTACAATAAAATCTCAGTATTGCATTTGAGAAATAAGTGATTTTCTACCTCAGAGATTTATGAGAGAAATTATGGTTAATAAATAAATTAAAAATGCATCGGTACTAGCAGCACTGTTGCTGCGATTTTTAGTATATCCACCTAATAATTTTGGCCTCATATATTGTTCTCGAGATGGTTCAAGTTCGTATAGCAACAGGCGTGACCAGAGTGGTTTGAACGGCTGTTGTACTGCGATGTGGAAAGCAAATGGAAAAACTACCACATTATCACTTTTCCTGGATAGTCTCTTTCCAAAAACAGAAGATCACATTAAGTGGAGGAACTGTTTTGGAAGAGACTGTGGACCTGTCGTCTGACAGATTACTGATCAATCAATCAATATTGTTCTCGCCACATGATTAATTTCTCTTCAAAACCAATTTCCTCTACAAACACAATACAGGACATATCCATTTCTCCCCCTGCCTTCCTCCAGAAATATGCATAAAAAACAAAACATGAATTACACCAAAAAGAAGCGTATGCAATTTGCTCTTTATATATCTGATGCAGAAGTTCATAATTTCTTACCCACCAAACTGTATGCCAATAATGTCATACATCCATTGTGGAAAGAAAAAAGAAAGAAGAAGAAGAAGAAGAAGAAGAAAAAAGAATAACACCTCTGCTCATGAAAATATCAATAAAAATTCAAACCCATGCCAATAAAATATAAATGTGCTTATAATATTACATACATCACATCACTAAATGTTGGATGTAAGCTGCTTTCATACCCAAATCGCCTCTTGAAGAAATTACGAATGCAATTCACATCTCTATCAAAAAACCTATGGAAAAGATGGAAGCATATTAAAAATAATTCATCAGTCTGCTAAATAAGCCAATGAATATAAAGGTTTTGCATTCCTAATTATTAATTTACAGTCACAGCAGCAACCATGTTACAAGGATCCATGGTCACCAAAGCATGGCATGCCTTCAGGTTGCAGAAGATGAAGACTGCCTCCAGCTGTGTAGCATTAACTGTGAATATATTACATAAACAGTTGTGAAGAGCTGACAAATGGTGATCTCCAAGCTTAGAGAAGTTAGGTGTAGGGTCAATCACCAGCTGTACTAATATAAAACCCACATGGCCTCCGTAGTCTAGGGGTAATGTTCCCACCTCATGACTCAAGTTATGTGGGTTCAAACCTGGCGGAGGTCATGGAATTTTTAAGGGCAGAAAAATTCAGGGAACAGGTCCTCCGGGAGGGACTTTAAGCCGTGGGTCCCATGTCGTAGATTTACGGCATGTAAAAGATCCCCATGTCTCTAGGAGACTTCTGAGTAAAATTAGGCAAAAAGTTTCCCGCCCAAGTAGTTTCCAGTGCCTCCGGTAGATGGGGAAGTTATCGGGTACCAATGCCAGTAGAGGGCCGACCTCACTAGCAGAAAGGGGAGAGTAATCGGGTACCACTGCCAGTAGAGGGCCGACCTCGCTGGCAGAAAGGGGAGATAGCGGGCACCAGTATCGGTAGGGTATGGCGACAGTAGAAATTAGAGGGGGACATACAATAGACTATTAGTCGCAGTGCATGGGGAAACCCACCCACTCTATACTGAATAACTGAATATAAAACCCAGATTATCTGAGCAATTTATCCACACCACAAACAAGCCTGACTCCACTTTCTGATTGATGTGTGGATAATACTGAAAGATCCAAATTAAGAAGAAAATAACTATGACAAAGAAATACCTTACATGTCTGGAGCAGTGTACAGACACAGCTGTTATGTTCGGCTTTGAGAATTCAACACGTTTTGAATATGGTATGTATTCTCTAGAATTGTGTGTGATGTGAAATTTGCATGCTGATGTTACTACAGAGTTCTCCCTCACTTCCTTTCTTTGTCTCCTAATCAACACAAACCACAGTAGCTCTAGCTACAGGTATAATGAAAAAGCATAAGCTGAAGTAGCACATGCACATTTTATGTACACCAATGTACTGCAAGTGTTGCACATCAGTAACAGAATTTGTCACTAAACACTGAATGATATACATCTCACTTTCTTGAGAATATCAAATTGTTTCAGCAACAACCATGGAAGTATTAAAAACATAAGCTGTATGATTGTGGACTCCTGGTACTTAAATAATATTCATGACAAGATCACAGGTTTACGGTATTGGATAATTTCTACTTGGAACGATAAAATAATTTCATATTATAAAATAATCTGACAACACCATCCAGTGTGACTCAGTATATTATAATATTAGTATATAATATATACTGAGTCACACTGCACAGTGTTGTCATATTCATTTTATAATAATTAACTAGTGTGATGGTCCAGAATGAATAAAGTTAAACTTAAAAATAATTTCAACTTACATCTCAGCATTAGGATGTGAAGTAGACATCATTTGTGGAAAATCTATAACAACTGGGTTGCCTTCATTTGTTATCATAAGGTTGAATTCATTAAAATCTCCATGGATCACACCATGATTTCCAAGTCTCACAATCAAATCCATTAATTCATCATAGAGTGACTCTACATCTGCAACTTCATACATCTGACAACTAAGGAGAGAGAATAATCAACAAGTTTACAAAATAATTTATAAACTTTAACTGATTCATCAGCAGAAAGAAATATGTCACAGAGTTGACTGGTTTGACAATTCTCTGTTAATAATTAACAGTTTATATGCTATGACATCCTTCAAGGTGAGCTGTTCAAGCAGGAGAACATTCTGAATTATGTACAGAAGTTTGCATTACAAAGCACTGCTGCTGCAGGTGTCTGCTCTTAACGCAAATTATAGTAAAATCTGTTTTTATGCCAGGTCTCTGCCAATTTGGAAAATCAAGGCAGATTATCAAAAGGCAAAAATTATATACAAAGGTAATTAAAAAGCAAATGCACTTAACATGCAAAACTCTGAGAATATATCAGAATGAACATCTGTCACCAAGAATACACTATATTCAGACAAGTTCAAACATAATTTGAGTTGCTGGTACATTCAGTGTCTTGTGTGTCTGTCTAATATAAACTCACTACTGCCAGCTCCACTTTTGAATCGTATGACTGCCAAGCAACATGCTGTGATTAAATTTTTTGGTCACAATGGAATAAAACTTCTTCCTCATCCATAGCAGTCCACACCTCATCCTACATCGCTATCACCTTTCTGGACTGCTCAAAAGTATTATACAGATGTTGATTTTCAAAATGTGAAAGAGGCAGTGCACACTGGGCCTCAGGAACAAACAAAACTGTTTTTCTCAGATGACATAAGAAGTTACTGGAGAAGTGTAACACTTGTGTGGAGACGTTGGGGTATTATACTGAAAAATTACATTATCTGTTTGTTACGCATTCTTGTGTGTTTCATGAAAAACAAAAATAAATAGCTTTTACTCTTTAAGTTACTGTTGTTATGATGCCAATGTGGAGGCTTTCTACATCTGTCCTATAAAGAGCTAATATACATTAAAGTCATGGTACCAAATTGCTGTGATCAAATTAACAAGGTTAGAAGTTGTGTTAAGATGTAAGTAAAACGCACAGGGGTTTAAGTGTAAACTGAGACAATTTTGTTCAGTATTTTGATTTATGTATTTATTTATTAATTTACTTTTTAAGTCTCATGAAACTGTGTCACAACCAAGATCATCTTTTATTTAGATAAATCCAATATTTTTACAGCTACTGAAAAGTAAACTTTTTGTACCTGCTAACAGAGAACCAGTAATGTACAAATCATAAAGTTCTGCAGAAAACAAACACTTACAGAGGTCTTCCTTCTACAAGTTCCATGATGACACAGTGTCTGTTGAAATCAAGAGGTTTAGGAACAGGAAAGCCATGGTCATGCAAAGCTTTCATGTATGCAAATTCCTTGGTTGCTGAGATACGAGACAGGTACAACCAAGAGACAGCATGCCGGTGCTGATGATAGTCACGTTTCTCTTTCAAATTACGAAAACATGTACGACCAAGCCTATAAAAGGAAAGAAGGAAGGTTAAGGTAATCAAGTAACATATCGCCCACTGCTGTGACGTAGATGAGATGCAACAACCATACAGCCCAATGATTTAAGTCAGATACAGGACTGCAAATCAGTACTAGACTTAAATATAACTAAATAACTAAGGCAGGTTCTGAAGGCAAAGATGAAAATGGTTTTGTATGACTAAGAGCTCTAAGAGCTATTAATCTAAGAGATGGGACAGCACATTTGGTATACTGACTGGTTATGGGCTGGACAGCTGAGGGGTCAGAGTTTGCGTCCTGGTAGGGATAAGAATTTTCTTCTCTCCGTGTTGTCCAGACTGGTTCTGGGGCCAAACCAGTCTCCAATCCAGTGGGTACTGGGGGCTCTTTCCCAGGGGTAAAATGGCTACGGCATGAAGCTTACCACTCACCCCCAACCAGTACCGATGTCAAAAATACACGGATCTATACATCCACTCACCCATTCATCTTCATGGTGCAGTGCCTGATTGACAACTTTACCTAAGAGCCACTGATCTGGGTCCAGAATGGACATATGGAACAGCTGATCCAGTGGACATGGCATGCTGTTAGAGCAGCTGTTTAGCCAGTTGGTGGCATGTATGCACTAACACAAAGTAACTGTGCTGCAAAGCTGACAATGTAGTACAAAGTGCAAAGTATACTTCCACCATTTTTCTTTCTCTCCCCCCCCTCCTGCCCCCAGACGTGTGAAATCACGGAAATAAAGGCATATCCCACACAGGCTTCATATGGAGGGGACAGTTTCAGCAATGATACCCTGGGACTGTAGGCACATTAACACATCCCTGTCACACAGCTTACATTACCTGTGCAGTTTTAAGCAAAGGGGTTGGCCTTCTTCATTGGCGACAATATAAATATTAGACTCCTTTCCAACACCAATTTGGTTGCCAAATGAAGTTACAACATTTCTTGATGTCAAAGTCTTCAGTGCCAAATAGTCATAACCAGCATTAGTTAATCTGTAACCATCATCTAGAACAGAGTTCATTTTAATATAAAACACTATTAAAAATCAAATAAAATGACAATGGGGAATATGGGATGTAGTGCAAGACAGGCATAACAGTGTGGGAAATGCCCACATTCAACCATACGTTACAGTGATAACACAAGTATCATAACTTAGCAACGGCGAGTAAACAGCCATTGCCAGGCAAAGCCTACAAAAATATGGACAGCAACGTGTTTTCTATGCGATCCGACACAATGTTATGTAAGAGGGCAGTAACTTTAAAATGAAGTTGTGTACGTAACATGGGCTTTGTGTGTTGTAAGTAAAATGTGACACTACAAAATTTAAAATGTTACTAGGTTACCAACAGTGTTACAGCAGAATTGTTACCATTACTGAGAAAAAGAATTCTGTGATGTTCAGAGAAAAAAATTGTGAATCTTATTGAAGATATTGTGGCATATAGATCCGCTGCTAGGCAATGGCCATGAAACAAACAATGAGACAAATAGTAAATACACAATGGTACTGAAGGGAAGTCTCAATTCTGAGACAGTAAAATATGGTCACGAGTAAGACTGCGCTGGCAAGGGCCAGCAGCACATACAAAAGACAGACCCGTCCTCTCGTTAGAGAAGGCGCCCCACAGAAACAAGACCGTAACTGTCAAACAATAATAATATCTGGTCATGAGCCCCAAGTGGGGCTCGACACCAAGACTTACTGACTGACTGACCGTCAGTCGCAATGTGACTTTGACTTTGACATATAAAGAAAAAAAAATGTGGTCATGAGCCCCGGTCGGGGCTCGACACCAAGACAGACAGACTGACTGACCGTCAGTCGTAATGTGACTTTGACTTTATTAAGAAGAGATGTGGCGTGGGTGTTGGAAGCAGTAATATAGTTTGTACTACACCAGCCCTGTCCAACGTGGCGTCCGTGATATATTTTTTGGAGCCCTCTGTAAGCACATATAATTGAGCTGATTTTTAATATTAATTCAAACTGTAAGACAAGAGACATTTTTGAATGTCTGAGTACTGTTAAATATTTTCACACAATTTCCTTGAAGGATGATACAGTATTAGACATTCCTTGAAAATTTATACCTATTCTTTTTCTCCCTTGCAAACAATACCAGTCTTAATTCTTTTTTCACTAGAGAAACTGTCATCCTCTTAAGATCAGGTAATTTTCCCTAGCGGTATTTTTACTCCCTCAAACAGCCGCAAGTCCCCACTGAATCAGCTTTCATGGATTTCGGATTTATGGTCAGGGTACCACAAAATATTCTGTGATCGGCAGGGCAAACATATTCACCAACAGGAACGTGACTATGGGGCCCAGCTTACTGTAATTTCCCCAATTTCTAAACTCATCGACAATATGAATCAAAGTTACTTTAATCCCAACAAAGCGATGCCACAAACAATAAGAATTTATTAGAGGGCTGTACACTAATGGAAACTGGTAGTAGCTACATTTCCAAGTTCGCTTTCTTCAGCCAGACATTCAGTATTACCTGCAAGTTTGTGACGACCATAGTTCAGTTATTATGTGTCTTGTGTTGTGACAAGTAGTACATTCAAAAAGTTACACAGTTATCAGTGTATTTTAGTTATTGTACTTCAAATTATTGAGCAAATAAGCAGTACTATTTTATATAGCTATTCTTAATATGACTAAAAGACAAAGAAGTTATAGTTTTAACAGTGAACGGGAGGAGCAGTATTGTTTTATTGAGTACAGGGGAAAATCTGTGTGTTTATTGTGTAATAGTAGCGGGTCTGTTCCTAAAAAAGTAATGTAGAGCTGTTCGTCAGTGTATACTGTGCAACTACGAGGGTAAGTCAATAAGTAAGTTACAAGTGGATATAGAACTTATACAAATAAGAGTACTGATTTGAAAAATGTTTTTATTTCTCAACATAATCTCCCTGTACAGTGAGGCACTTGTCCCATTGTTTCACAAGCCCCTGAAAACCAGCAAGACTCATCACCTATGACAATTTGGGCTAGCATATCATGTCCTTCATTGTGGTAATGATTGAGATGCTGTATTGCCAGATTCATTCTTTGCATTTTGTGTTGTGGGGTCAGCATGCATGGCACCCATCATGCACAGACTTTGTGACAACCTAACCTGTCATGCGACTTCCATTTGTTTGGCCCTCTTAAACATCATCTTTTGGCTGATTATTTTCCCGATGATGAAGCTGGAGAAAGGGAAGTCAACGCCTGGTTCTGACAGCAGCCCAAAGAATTTTATGCAGCTGGTTTTCAGGGGCTTGTGAAACAATGGGACAAGTGCCCCAATGTACAGGGAGATTATTGTTGAGAAAAAGAAGCATTTTTCAAATCAGTACTCTTATTTGTTTACGTTCTATATTCATTTGTAACTTACCTATTGACTTACGTACGTATAATAAATATTATAGAACAGTTGAGCAAGTGGTTGTCTCTTCATATATCGACATATCACATTGGTGACCCCGATGTGATTTGAACAAGAAAGGGAGCATTCTCATAAAAGTAAATCATAAGTACATGCCATATATTTTCATATTTTAATTTTCTGTGTTGGAGAAGAATGTACATCTGTAACAGTGCTGACCAAGGTTGTTAAAGGGCTGTACAGCCAAGAAGTAACAAACTTTCTGTGTAACTGTATAAAAGTTTTTACACTGCTACATGGATGATAATTTTGATTCAGCTTACTTTCAATAGTGTCAGGTATAAAATAATCAAAACACAATGTATGTAACAAAAGGAAACCAAATAACATGGTTTTGTGACCAGAAAGTATTAAACTTCAGCTTCTGTGAACTCATAAAACAACATTAATTTGTCCCCAAGACATAGTTAATGCATAGTTATATGAGATCAGCTTTATTCTAATAGTAAAATTTAGCACCCAATTACTTTGCATCCAGATTTGCATACAACTAAACAGTGCTTCAAAAAATAAGACAACTATTACACATAACAGTGTCAATAATTGTTATGGAAATGCATTTTTTGAACTCTTAAAAGATAAATCAAAATGAATATACTGCATAACAAGACTGTAAACTATCTGGTACTTACAATGTTTCCCACGTTCGTATGAGAGGAGTCTATGCTTACATAATTCTTTTAGGAGTTTATGAACACCACCATGTTGAAGGTTTGCTATAGATGCGGCAAGAGATCCTGGCACAAGTTCATGGTTTTTCATGCCCATTTCAATCTAAAATAACCCAAGTTTGTAAATATGAATGGCATTGAATACAACACCTTGCAAAAAAATGCACGTATTTGTACATTTCAGTTCTTTTAGAGTAAATGCTACAACAACCCCGAACCTGTAACTTTCGAAATTCCTTGAAACACTGCAGGGCAACTGTTTCAATGACACTGAAATCCTCTAACTTAAATCCGTTTGTAAACAAGTTGGAATTACAGTACGATTTTACAGTATTGTGGTCAACTGTTCATATGTCTTTTTAAATACGTTTTGCTCGTAATGTGTGCGCTTGGCTAGAAAAAAAGGCATGGATGCAGTCCATACATCTCTTTTTTTAGTTTAAATGAAAAATAGTCATACGGTTGCATTAAGTGGGGGGTTAGATTCTTACTTGGTCACAATGATTCGTTTACGTCTGAGATGTGAGTTAAAGGTAAAGCTATCCCTGTAACAGGCCGTGAAGGCCCATAGGGTTGTGACAGGTTGAGGCTCCCACATTTAGAAAATCGGCTCACAGATGGCGGTAAGGTTGTCAGCCTCACGCACCGGCCGTCCTTCCCCCCCCCCCGATTTCTGTTAGAGGCTGAGTCGGATCCAAGGCCATTGTGAGGCTTGAAGGATTAGGTAAACTGAAAAATCCGATGATCTGATCTGGAATCGAAACCGCAGATATCTGGGTTGTAGTACAGTACCTCAACCAACTACGCTACCGCGTACCTGAGATGCGAGTTACAATGATAATGTGGACAATATGCATGAATTTGGGGTTAGGTTCTTACTTGGTTACAATGATTCGTTCACGTCTGAGATGCGAGTTATAATGCCAATGTGGGCAGTATGCTTCTACACACTAACATTCGTCGTATGGTTGCTGATTTACGAACAATTTGCTTCTACACACTAACATCTGCCATATGGTTGCTGATTTACGAACAATTTACATAAGAACTATGAACTCTACTTATACCTACTGCTGTCAAAACTCTGAAATCCTCCTTGGTTAAATAACGCAAAATTGTAACATTCAATTTCCCCATATTTACAGCGCTTTCTGTACAATTACTAAATTAGACGTCGATGAAAACTAAACAACTCGGGAACTTCAGTACCGCATACCACCGGCCTAAATACACCTCATACAACTCACAACCTCACAGATCGCACATTTCTTCACTGATATCGATCCAATGAAAACGGCAGCGATGGCAGCTGTTGGCAGCTGTAATGGCTGTAATGCTGTAGTGACCGGTCATGACGTCATGGCTGCCATTTTGCCCTTCAGTAACATTGAATTTCGCGGGAGTGCCAACGAATGATGTTGAAGCATGGGGTTTAAATTGGATGATGATGAATTAAAAGATAAATGAAAAACGGTTGAATGTTTAAAATCTTGAATTTGAAAATTGATTAAAACTAATCCGTGGTCTGAATTATGGAGCAATTTCCGTGAGAAAACAATTTTCAAAGAGATCTATTTCAAGTTGTAGAGAAACGTGGAAACTAAGACAGAGCCATCTTTGAGGCAAAGTGAAACAAATATCGGCCTCGAATATAGACTCCTCACGTGGACTATGGTGCAATATTAACTGTGAATATATAAGTAAACAAAACAGGTTGGTGTATAATGACGGTAATATAATGAAAATTTTATGCGTTGTTTTTGTACAGGCCAGCTAACTGTGTGAAGAGTACATAATGTGGACCGCCATTGTTTATATTGTAGTCCTGTTTCTTATTGTACGAGTAACGAAACGGCTGCTATTCAGATCGAAGTTACAGCCCTTGGAAAGTAAACATGTAGTGGTAAGCAGAATAAATTAATGATTTTTGCGGTAATTCAATGGTGTCAGGATTATTTAGTACTTAACATTCTACAGTCATTTTGACTAACTTTGGATCCAAGGAATGCAATGCAATGTTATGTTAATCAGTGGAATGTCGCTGGTAAACAATTTACTGAAGATTGTCTCCTGGGATGTGAGGGCGTGTCTTCAGGAATGTCAGTCAGCAGGTTCGTCCCAAACGTTGGTATTTATGTACCAACCACACGTTATTACATCCCAGAAGTCAGTAATCTTAATAGTCTGATGATGTCACATCATATTCTAATCACACTTTTCCCCCTAGTTTTCATGTTTATCAGAACCTTAATATTGTAAAAAGAAAAAATCTCTGCATTAGGTGTTATGGTCTTAATGGGAATTAGTGACGTTGTAGGACGAAAAACACAAAATGAATGTTATAAAGGAGTAGTTCTGTTAAGAACATCACATTGAGTGAGGAGTTAATGAATATGGGCTCATCAGGTAAAAGGTAAAAAGCTAAAGTTATCCCTTCAACAGGCTGTCAAGGCCTGTGGGGTTGTGAGACTTTGAGGCTCCCACATTATTCTAGACAATTGGCTCACAGATGACAGTGAGGTTGTCAGCCTTACATGCTGGCCACCCTATACACCCAGGAAGATACCTGGTACTAATTTCTCTTAGAGGCTGAGTAGAACCAGGGCCATAGTGTAGCTGGAAGAATTAGGTCAATTGAAAAATTGATTGAACTCATTGGTATTTGAACCCACCACCTTCCGGCTTGTAGAATAGTGCCTCAACCAACTATGCTACCATGTGCCCCAGGCCCATTAGATGTTAAATTGCTATTGTAACTGAGCATGTTATATGACAGAATTAATTTGCAGATTATGGTGCCAGTTGTACATAATGTACTGTGTTCTCTCTTTTGATATATCCTGTATCAGGCTATATTGATCTACAGTGCAGATTGAAATGAATGGATGAATCCCTTTCTTCAGCAGTGTAATTTATTTTTTTTAATTGATAGTGGGGTGGGACTAAGTCCCTTGTACTGCGGCCACTTCTGGCCCATTGTACCAGCCCCAGATGATAGGTGAGGGTGACTGTGGAGCAATTTTTGGAATGAATATTGGCAGGGGAAACCGAAGTACTTGGAGAAAACCTGCCCCAGCGCCACTTTGTCCAACAGAAATCCCAGACCTGGGATTGAACCCGGGCCGCCGCGGTGGGAAGCCAGCAACTAACCGCTTGAGCTATGGCGTGGCCATTCTTCAGCAGTGTACCATCATAGCATCTCTTTCAGTTAAGATAACCACCAGAGACAATATTTAATACACAACATTTAAACTTTTCGGATTTTCACAGTTTTACTGGAATTGTGTAGTTTGCTTTGAAAATTGGTTGGTAATCGTAGTATACCACAATTAACAGTATTGCCCATAACTGCTTGAACATTTCAACTGGGACTTTAAACATAATATTATGGAGCTGAAACAGGCAAGGATGATTAACAATGGAGAGTCTGTAACAGAGGGATAGAATAAGAAAATTATTTGAAGAGTTCTGTCTTCTGGAATATAATGTTGTGTAACCTACTGAAAGGTAACCAATGTTTTGGAGGAACATGTTTATCCCCCATCTTCAGGGTTCAAGAATGAGCCTGCATGAAGCAGATAGCAAGCAGAGCAATATGTTCCTCTGAAACATTGCTTGACTTTCAGTGGACTTTACAGTGTTATATCCCAGAAGATAAAACTTGTCATAATCATTGCCATAGGAACCTTGTATTTTACATAGCAGTTTATTTGATTGGTTGAAATAGGCCAAATCACTTCTTCCCCACTCTGCCTTTCCAAATACTCATGCACAATCACTTTGTCCTTATGTATGGCACTGATTAATATCTGCAACTGATACATTATCATCATGTAGGGTTAATCTTTGAACTGCTGTGTGTGGTGTAGGGTGTTCCTTGAGTAATTTATTTATGTTGCTGGTACATTCAATGTTATAAGCCATTTCAGTTCACAGCTTTATGGCCTATTTCATAAAGATCCATAATAATATTACTGTCCCATTTAAGCTTAAGGCTGTCAAGTTTTCTAACTCGATGTTTTCCAGTCAAAAAATGTACAGGCATTTCTTGCTTCATATCCCCCCAGACATGCGTTACATCTCCAGAACTAATATTTCCTGATTTAACCACTCAAGTAATATTAAATCAAGAGCATTACTTATGAATTCTATACAGAATTACATTAGGAATGTTGTTCAGTAATACATTAGCATTTTGCCTGTTTTGCACCAGGTGTGGACAAGTTCACACTGCATTTGTATTCAGTGTAACTGAAAGAATATTGTTTTATATATAAAAACATCATAACCCCCCCTCAGTTTATGGTTTTCCCTGATTTAGTGTTCAATTTCAGTGATCTGAAGTCAGTAATCTCAGGTTTAAATTTCCTTCATTTAAGATTTCCCTCACTTCAGTGTTCATATGCACTGTTCCCCAAGGAAACCTTAAGTGGAAGTTTCACTGTATTAGGTGACAGGTGGTTCCAGTGGTATTGGAAAATGTGTAGCTATTGAAGCTGTCAGTAGAGGTGCACATGTTACCCTAATAGCCAGAGATGTCAAGAAGTTGGAAAGTGCAGTCGCAGAAGTGGCAAAATACTGTCTCCATCATGAGAAGCAGAAAGTGCAGTTTATATCATGTAAGTTTGTAGTGGTAGTACCATCACTGGTCATACCACTTGTTTCTTGCTAGCATCTATTCTGTTGTTTTTCTGTACTTATACTGAAAATGTTAACTTGACTGCTTCGCTTTTGTTACATCACTCTGCTGTGATTCTATACATTTGATTTATTTGTAACAGGAAGGTTCTCTGCTGGATAATCAGTATTTATGTCTTCTAACAGAAGACTTCACATATCACAAAATATTGATATAAAAATTAGAAAAGACTACTCAATTGTGGCATTTACATAGACATTTGTACAAGAGATTCTAAGTTAAATTTGACAGAAGCTGACAAATGTTAATATTGTAGTTGTATATATCTGTGTGTGCATGTGTGCTTGTGAGGGGTGGGCCACAACTCGCCCCTGCACCATGACCAACAATGATCTGTTGTGCTTCCGCTTTAATTAATCCCTTATTATTTCTACACTTTAATATTGTGGTTGCTGCACACATTTTGTAACAGACAAAACTGGATGGGCACTGCTGTGTTGAAATATCAAGCAAGACTGCACCATCATGAAATTGAGCGTAAACAATAGGATCCCCATTTAATGTTCTCGACTTAAGGGTGTTCCTCATTTAATATTGAGTTTTACTGATCTAAATTCAGCTGTACCAGCGTTAAGTTACCACCATTTAAAATTCTCCTCAGTTGAAGAGTTCAGTTTGTTGCTTCCAAAAGAAACCTTAAATTGGGGTTTCCATGATTTTTCAGTGCCTTGAGAATAAGAAGGCATATGTGTCACTATGGAGAATATTCAGGGATGATCTTGAGTGGTGAAGCATGAATTCACTTTGCTATTGAACATAAGTCAGATAACATGATTTATTTGAGCACAGACACCAAAATGAGCCAAGAAGTGTATTCTGTACACGTGCATGGCAGTGGACAGGTTGGGTGCTGGAACAATATAATTTTTTACCAGTTCACATTACAATACAGGGTATCTACAAAAGGTCTGACACATTTTGATCTTTAATAATTTGGGAGAAAATGAAGATAGAAATAAACCTTTAGCAATGATGGAAATATTATTATGCCACAACGATTGCGACGCTAAAATTTCTTCCTATATCTTACCGCTACCACCAATTTGTTGTGCCCTGATAGGGATCAGTAACTGTACTCACCCCCTGTCGGACGTCCATGGATAACTCTAAACCTGTGAGGTGGAAAACATGCTTGCACTAGGGGAATCCACAAATAAATCGAGTACTCACCAACAACAATAAAGTAAAATATAATGAAATAGAACACCATTACAACAAACAACTTGTCAATACACACAAAACCTTTGATTAAACCCCTGGTTCTAATTTCCTACATTTAACTGTCCATAATACGCTAAACCTAAATGGCACAAACCAACACTTTTACTTGTAATTTCAAACTCAGTACAAGAATGACATGCTTCTACTATTCACACTCTTCATACAACCAACAATTGTTCTCATTGCTTGAATTCTTGTCCACTACTGCTTCATGGTTTCTGCAATTACCCGGAGTCCAGTTACTTTCCACAAAATGAACCAACAAATTCAATCCTCCTAAAAATGTGATAGCCAAAATCATTCACCTTTTCGTACAAAATTCTATCATTTTGGTATGTAACAATTGCATAAATGTTGACAAACAAAACATTCAAATGCACGAGCACTTTCAAATTTCTTTAAATTACCAAACTCACATGATTAGCATTATCTACAACCTTAAACCAAAATGCCAGTATAATTACAAATGGTTACCATCCAAACTTAATTACTAAACCAGATGCTGTTATCTAAACCATCACTCAATAATTCAGAATTACTCGGTTACACTCCAAAGTTTATACACTAAAACAGTTTAACCAAAATCATTGAACCAGAATCATATATTGACAATCATCAGTGATCTGAACACAGGCAAGTACTCACACTCACAAAAGAGGAAGACATCTGACTCCATCGTGTCTCCTTCCTACCACGCGACTGTTCTGAGCGACTCTTAAAATCTGAGTGTTCGCGGCTACTCCCGTCTGAACCCCTCAACATTCAACATCATGAAAAGCTGCTAGTGCAAAACCCCTAAAGTCAGCAAACTGTGCGGTGGCGAGACTTGCCTCGTGTCGTCACTTAATTTGTCAGCAATTTCTATAGACTGTACAACTGACACCAGATGGCTAAAGAATGTACGGCATCTCAACTCTGACTTCTGGCGGGTTTACAACTTGTGGTTCACCCGACGTATTTAAATTTATAAAACTTATAATTACTTTCTAATCAATAACACATAAATTTGACCCCTTGTTAAGATAAAGCATACCCATTAATAACCTGGGGCACAATAATATCAACTCAAAAAGTTTATTGGGCATTTCTTTTTTGCGGAAAAGGAAGTCACATCAGTCATTTACCTATTCATGTCGCAGAATTTTTTATTCCCATAAATTGAAGTGCTTCATCCCAAAATCATTTTCCAACAAGACGGTGCACCACCTCATTGGAGCACCATAGTTCGTGATGCTTTGGACAAACATTTTCTAGGAAGATGGATTGGACCATGTGGTCCAATTTCTTGGCCCCCAAGATCACCTGGCATAACCCCATTGGACTTCTTCCTCTGGGGATATGTCAGAGACATTGTTTATAAGATGCAGGTGAGAGACATTGATCAAATAAAAACCAGAGTAAGAGATGCAGTAACCACTGTGGATGTTAGTATGCTTACCCGAACATGGCAAGAAATCGAATACCGTCTTGGTATTTTACACGCAACAAATGGAGCACATGTACAACTTTATTAACAATAGACAAAACTTTTCGAGTTTCTCAATCCAACAATGTAACCAGTTTATTTCTATCTTTGTTATTTTCTGAATTATTAAAGGTCAAAATGTGTCACCTTTTGTAGACACCCTGCATGTTCTTAATGAATTGACAGAGGGCTGTATATATGTAAGTCCATAACAAAATACAGGTTTGTAATTTTTATAAGTGATTTGAAAAAAGTTTTTGTTGCAGTAAACATTGCTAATACAGTCGCCTCTTCAGTGGACAATGAGGTGTTTTTATGTGGTTTGAAATGTCCCAGATGTAGATGAGTAATGTGCTTAGCTCTATATCCATGCTGTGATATTTTGAACCAGGGAAGGAATCTTTTGTATTTACTGAATGAGATATGAACCTGATGCCAATATTTCCAACTACTGTATGTAGGGACACGATAAACAGTGTTGCAGACAGAAGTCATAAATTTGCTTGTTTCCATTTTTCTTCTTATTAAATGTGTAATGTCAATTGTAGTGGATGTTAGTGAAAATTATGAAGATATAGAGAAGGCACTTCTTGATGCTGAAGAAGAGAATGGCCCTATATCAATGCTTGTGAATTGTGCTGGAATGGCAATATGTGGGAGGCTGGAAGATACTGCTGTGGAAGATATTAAGGTAAGTTTTGACTTGCTTTCTGTTGGGAAACGTCATATGAAATGACCATGTCATCTGGCTGTCTCTTTCTGTCTAACCCACTGAAAACTGTGAAAATGTCTCCTTGATCTTCTTGTGCTGTTTGCCATTGGGATGCCATACTTCTCTGGTTCATGTATGGGAGGTTATACACGTAAGTTATCCATTCCATGGAATAAAGAATTTAAAAATTAAACTTAGAATGGTGACTTTAAATTAACTGAGATAGAAATTGTTAAGCAAGAAGAGGAAAGATAAGTTGCAGGGTTTAATGATGTGCTTAGTTATGCACAAGGAGAAGCTAACCTTCACAATAGTCATATGTCTGTGTGTATAATGCTCAGAACCTTCTATGTGAACATTTCTTAATATAACCTGGGAATTTGGTCAGTCACCATGTTTGTAGTTTCTTAAAACAACGTGATGATGACTATATCAGTTGAAACGTGTAGTGCACCGATGATGTGAAAAATGATTTAAAATAATAAAAAGAAGAACACGAATTTTAAGATTTTATCACAAGTTTCCATGTGAGATGGTGAATGAGAAGTGATAAGTGACAGGCAACAGGATGCTGCGGTACAACATTTTAAAAACAAATTTTGTAATTGTGTTTACAATTTATGGATACAATTTTAGATTCTTAGTTGAAGCAGTTCTTTACTTATTGCCATAAAATTGAAAGCCAAATAATTGAGTTTACATAGCTGCTGTATTGTTATATTATATTCTACAAAAAGATGACCTTCGCAAAAGTTTACACATTTTCGTAAGAACTTTTAGTACTCCACATTAAGTGGTGTTATCTCAGAAGCCCACCCAGTCACTCTCTTGGTATTTTGATGGTACAGAATTAAGGGTATTGAGATGGGATAATCTGCACTGACACAATGTCTATACAGAGTTTAATGAATAATTGTCACTTGATTCAAAAGTTATTATGGGGGATGTAATTTCATGCAAATGTGTGTGAGAACATAACGATGCAAGCAGATGTGAGGTTGCCACAGTGGTGAATGTGAACATTACAGCCATCTGAGATGTGTCACCATATAGTTTGGTGGAGGCACTTACTGCTTCCATCTTTAATGTGGAAGATGCAGGCAGGATGTTCCTACAGAATGATGATGGCCTGGTTACAAAACTATACAGCATTTCATCCTTGAAGACTGATCATCAGTTGATGGTTTAATTGTAGGCATTATGTATCATACTTTTGCATTAAAATCACTGATATCTGATTATTTTGTTTTACTTCTTGTATATCTTTGTTATAGCGCCTGCTGAACTTGAACTTCTTGGGAACTTTGTATCCTACCAAAGCTGTCATATCACGTATGAAAGGAAGAGGCGAGGGCAGGATTGTGATTGTTGCATCTCAAGCTGCCTTGTTGGGGATATATGGCTATACAGCATACAGCAGTACGAAGTTTGCCCTGCGTGGTCTTGCCGAATCTCTGCACATGGAGGTAAGAATTTGAGAGTTATGAAGAGCTTGCATTTTATTCAGTAAAAATTTCTTATTGAGGTTATTAGGAGAATGTTTTTACGCAAATGGTATATATGAAAACACTGTGACATTTTAGTGGGTGTAGGAATTTTTGATATAGGGTGTGCCATTCAAAGCTCCCACATTTTATCAGATCTTAGAACAGGAAGTATGAATGGTAGGAAAATGAAGCTACAAGAAATACGAGAACAACTCAAAAAAATTTATTTGGCACACCAATAAACCTCTACATGTGCACCATTGGTAGCACGAACAATATCCAATCTGTATTCAATTTCTTGCCACGTTTTTCCCAACATGTCCATTGGTACAGTAGCAATCGTTTCACGGATGCGGGCTCGTAAATGTGGGAGGTCATTCACTGGAGGCAGGAACACATGGTCCTTCACGTAACCCCAGAGGAAGAAATCAAGCGGGGTGAGGTCCAGTGAATGATGTGGCCACCAAATTGGTCCGCCATGTTCAATGCAGCGATCTCGGAAGGTGGCATTGAGGGACCTTCGAACATCCAGACCCCAATGTGGGGGGGGCTCCATCTTGTTGGAAGATTATGTTAGGCTGCAGATCGGCTACCTGGGGATACAGGAACTGTTCTAACATGTCAAGGTATATGTGGCCAGATACTGTAGCTTCACCGAAAAAAAACAGATAAAAGTTCTTTGAGTTTTTCTTTCATCTAGTGTTAATTATAATCCATAATTTATCACAGTTTGTTCACAATGATTAATTAAAATGTCAGAGGTTTGAATAGAACACACTGTATTTTATGTTTTCTGAGTATAGTTGTATTAAGTAGTAAATGTGTATAAGTCAGTATTTAGCATTTAGGGTTCAAATGTTACTTAATATCAAGACCTGAATTTCTTTATATGAATTTTGAAGTGGTGATCATTTCTCTGTAGGCCAGACTTGTCAATATTGTCACGTATTCGGGTGAGTAACGCGACAAATAACTTCACGCTGTATTGCATATAGCAAATTTTATTCCACACTCGCTCATACAATCACAAAGTTTACAATCTCACGTTACTGCCATCGGCAGTATCAAAAATACTAGACTGTGTACTCTTCCCTGGCCAACTCGTAACTAACTTGAATAGTCTTCGCTGCTCCTTATTTAGCCCTGTTACGAACAACACAGAAAACAGTTACGTAATAGGCACCACTGTTGTCTGACGCCGTGTTTCCGACAGCCTAGCAACACTGTCGGGAATTGTTTACTGCTGAGTAGCAATGGCGGCATCCCGTGTTACGTCACTGCTGGCGGGGTAGGTGAAGGAGTGTTGACTTGCCTGTTACCTTAGTAATGACAGTGATCCAATGGTGTTACGTCACCGCTGGTGGGTCGAGGGGTGTCCTGCATAGTGCAACACGTCACACTGCTCCCTCCTTAAGGCTGTTCGTCCCGAATAGCCTAACATTGCATCCCCGTTCCTTTTATTTGCCGGCTGTTCTTGCAACGTCTTCTTCATTCTTGTCCGGCTACTCCTCTTGCAGCTACTATCCTCTGGCCGTTATGTCCACTCTCCTCTTAATACCAGCTCGTCTCGAGCGGTTTCCTGCTAAGTTGCCAGAGGATCCAGTTGTGTCACACTTATTCGTCGCACATTCACTCTTTCTCAGGAGGCCGGTTCTTCTACATTACCTGTTCCTCCTCTGCTTGAAGTCTCTTTTTCTGTTTTGGAGGGGGTACCCCTCCACAAGGTCCGATCCTTGCCTTGTCGTAGGCCGACAGAAAATCTGGCGACTCGCTTGGTGATCTGCAGTCTTGCAGTTTTCCTCAGGTCTGGTTTCTTCACATATCACTGCTGTCCGCCGCCTAGGTCCTTCACTTCATTTCTGCGTTGTAGTTGCTGTCTCAGGCCTCGGTCCCTGATGCCAGTGTTGCATTCCGGGCCTTTCCACAGTCACAACACGTCACAATATTGTTATGACTGTGGGACTAGATTGAGAGATATATTTATCAAAAATAATCTTATCAAAATATTTTATTAAATTAATCTCTGTTATCTTTGGTGAAAGGAGGTATTTGGTTCAGAATTTTGACCTGGTCACTGAGTATAATGATAAGTATTTTCATAGTTTTTTTTGTAGTAGTTCCAGTCAAATATGAGGATGGTTCCTTCACTTGGGCTATGACCATTTCTTTCTCCTTCATTAAATCATGGTTGTGTTTACTTTTTTTTTTTGCCAATATTAACAGACAATACAGTAGGTATGGTATTGTTAAGTGGTCTACAAATGAATGAATTAAGTTGTAGAAATTTCTTAGTATGAAAAGAAAAGTACATTAGAATGACTGAAACAACTTCAATTTACTTTTGAAATCCATTACGCTACATATTGTGCAGGAGTGTAAGAACGCTCTTTGGTTGTTAGCTGAGATGGCAGGTAGCAACCATTGCATGTAATCAGGTGGTGTTATACAGTTAAATACATTGGATGTGATGACACAGGCAGACAGTTTGGTAGGTACCTTGAAACAGATTGTGACTGCCCTTTCCTACTCACCATTTGTAAATGTATTTCCATTTTGTTCAGTGTTGTATGACCTCTTCATTTGAAATTTTGTCATATAAATTAGCTAAATATCGATAACCACTGTCATGATAAAGTAAAGATAAATTTGCCCCTGCCTGTAATAAGCACTGCACCACGAAGGTATACGAGGGGGGACCCAAAAATAACCGGAAACGACCTGTTTCGCACGCATGCTTTGTAGTTACGAGTTGTGCTGCTAGATGGTGTTAGCTGGGGGTCTCCCGCGACTGTTAGTGAGCTGGCGTCAGTCTGAGTTAAGTGGTTTGTCTGTGGTGCTCTGTTGTGTGCGTTCGTGTTTCAACCCTTTGGCGATTAGTGAGATGGCCGACCAGAAGGAACAAAGAGTGTGCGTGAAATTTTGCTTTCTGTTAGGGAAAACTGCAGCTCACTCTTCAAGTCACGGCAAACATTCACGCGATTTTCTCTTTGGTCATCTCCGAGCAAGCGAGGAACAAATTTTGCAGACACCCGTCTCATGTGCAAACCTTCGGTTAAAATTCGCTGGACCGTGCTCCATGAGATGTTCGTTTCCTCAGAAAGTTGGTCAATGGTCTTTCGACGATCTTCATCAATTGCACGTTTGATTTTGGCAATGTTTTCGTCATTTCTTCCTGTCGAAGGACGCCCGGGGCGTGGCATGTCTTCTGTTGACATGTTGCCAGATTTGAAACGGGAAAACCACTCGTAGACCTGTGATTTCCCCAAAGCATCATCATTAAAGGCTTGCCGAAGCATCCCAACAGTCTCGGCTGCAGTTTTCCCTAACAGAAAGCAAAATTTCACGCACACTCTTTGTTCCTTCTGGTCGGCCATCTCACTAATCGCCAAAGGGTTGAAACAGGAACGCACACAACAGAGCACCACAGACAAACCACTTAACTCAGACTGACGCCAGCTCACTAACAGTCGCGGGAGACCCCCAGCTAACACCATCTAGCAGCCCAACTCGTAACTACAAAGCATGCGCGCACAACAGGTCGTTTCCGGTTATTTTTGGGTCCCCCTTCGTATATGGGGCAGGTGGTATAGCTCACTGCTTTCATTCTTAAAAGTTGGCATTGCTTGGAGGTGAGTGGTCAGCTTCAAACCTTGGCTGCATTATCCCTGGGGAAAGAGTTCCGTGTTCCCACCATATGAGAGGCTGAATGGGCCCCAAACCTTGGCTGCATTATCCCTGGGGAAAGAGTTCCGTGTTCCCACCATATGAGAGGCTGAATGGGCCCCAGATTTAGTTTGATTGTAGCAGTAGAGAAAGAAATTTCTTTTTATATTTGTAGTTGAACTCCAGTTTTTCAATGTGTAACTTACCCACCACACTAATTGAGATGGCCCCAGTTCCCAGACCATATTTTAATGTTATTGTTTGTAATTTGTCACTTTCAGGCAAAACCGTACAACATATCAGTCACACTGTCTTTCCCACCTGATACAGACACCCCTGGATTCGCTACTGAAGAAAAGAGCAAACCAATGGAAACAAGATTAATTTCACAGTCTGCTGGGCTAGTGTCACCTGAAGTTGTAGCAAAACAGATCATCATGGATGCTTTAGTAAGTCACATCTCTTAGGACATGTATGGGCTAATGCTGCTTGAAAAAATCTGTGGCTTTAGTCTGCAAACAAACTATACCAACTGAGTGTTCCCAGCTTGTCGGCAAAGTTAGTGCCAGCTTCAGCAGATAGAGGGTGTCGAGTGATCAGTGCAATGAGTCCCCACAGCCATTAATTTCGGTTTTCTAGACCAAAGCCACTACTTTTCCATTCAAGTAGCTCCTCAGTTATCCTCACGAGGCTGAGTGGACCCCATACCAGACCCACTATTTCTCAGACAATCTGGTAGTGCCGGGAATCGATTCCGGGACCTCTGGATCTGTAGCCAGGAACTCTGACCACTAGACCACAGAGGCGGTCTGGGCTATGTAACAGTAGTTCTGTAATATTATACCAAATATGTATTGTGCAGTTAGTATTATCTTTGCATGTATGAAGTATGAGCAGCATTGAGCAAATAAAAAGTTCTAATAAATAAAGCTCCAGTGATAAAATGGAAATCAGCACAGTCAGCATCCTCTCTTGTTTAGGAGTGGGTGGTCTGTTAAATGTATTAAGAAATGAAACCTTTCCACATGTTTAGATGTCTTGCTCAGTCCCTTCTATATCATGTATGGTGTTTCAGAATTTGAAACCGTACTTTTAATATGCTTATACTTGGGGCCTATGTTTACTTGGGCTGGTCAAAATAAAAAAAAAGATGCATCTTGCTTGGAGGCTATGTTTTGTGCAGATAATGATTATCAGCCTCCCAAGCTATGAGAGTGCGAACACACATATGCACACGCGCAGATAGACATGCACAGACAGAGACAGACACACACAAATATTAACATGTGGATTACTTGTAAATATTATTGATTTGTGACAGATCAGGTTGGTGTTGTGGTATGCTGTCATGTAGGATGTAACTGGTTTGAATTCTGTTGAGGCCCAGGTCCCTTTACTAATATTTTTGTGTTTCCCTCAGTATCTCAAAGCAGATTCATGATAATACCTTAGAATAGGGAACACTCATCTTACATTTGATGGGCACTATGCTACAAGCTGGAAGGCTGTGGGGTCAAGTCCCGATGAGGCCATTGGATATTTTTCAATTGACCTAATACTACCAGCCGCACTATGACCCTGGGATTGACTCAGCCTCTAACAGAAATGAGTACCAGGAATATTCTTGGGGGTAAAGGGCAGCTGGCACGTAGGGCTGACAACCTTGCTGCCATCTATGAGCCACTTGTCAAATTGGGATCTGAAGTTCATGTATCAGTAGACACATTTTTCAGATTGCTCCTTTCCAGGTGTGCTAGAATGAATCACATAGAGAAAGTTATTATTCATGTAATGTTACTAATTATTAACTTCCTTCTAAATTAAATATCATATTTTTTCAGGCTGGAAATTTCTATAGCACTGTTGGTGCCGAGGGTTTCATGCTAACAACTCTCTGTGCAGGAATGACTCCTGTATCCTCATTGTTTGAACTTGTTACTCAGGTATGATGAGTTCTTGTGGTACACTAAAGGCTTACTGTTTGAAGTATATACTGTATTATTCAGAGTACAATGCTTGGAAGAACTGCTCACTCAGTGAATTAACTACATTAAAAATGCATCAAGCTGGAACAGGTCTGAAGGTCTGTGCTTGCAAGTTGATCATGATTATGATGGTGATGAAAAAATTATTATAGGCATTTAGAAGTTTTGGAAGAAGCGTACCTTTCCTTAATCTTGGTTGAAGAAAGAAATAATGCTATGCTTGTTTCAGGTCTGTTTAATGGGATTTATGAGGTTGGTGAGTGTTTGTTACTTGATGTCATTTCACCGAATCATTCGCAACTGCATGAAGACAAGGGACCAGACAAAAAAATTGGAATAAGGATATTAAACAGATGTTAAGGGTTTTTATCTAACATAAGCATTTTAATTATGCTTCCAGAATACAAGATTATGTGATTTCGTGTGTACTTATACTGGGGAGAAATTAAATGAAGTACAAAGTCTTTTACATTCTGAATCAGGTACATTAGATGTAATATATTTGAAAAGTTTTTGGTTTGTATAGCTTCATCAGAAAGTTCTGAGACTGATCCAATAGGACAGTATTATTTCTTACACACTAGTGGAATTTATCCCCATCAAAGTAGCCACCTTACAACCAAATAGTCTGATTCATTGATCCTACAATTGATAGACTTGCTGGATATGGCAGTCTCATTACAAATCATCATCTTTTCTTTGCTTAGTGGGGAGGTGGAGTCCAACTAGGTTCATTTGGCACGGCGGCCACTGATTGGCCTATTGTAGCCTGCCCTGGGTGATTATGATGATGGAGAATTTGGTGGAATGAAGATTGGCAAGGGAAACCGAAGTACTTGGAGAAAACCCAACCCAGGGCCACTTTATCCACCACAAAGCCCACTTGACCAGACCCAGGATCGAACCTGGGCCGCTGCGGTGGGAAGCCAGTGACTAACTGCATGAGCTATGGCGCGGCCTATATCGTCTTCCTTTAGGTTAAGTTTTTGCTTTTGGAAGGAGGAAAAAGGCACAAGGGACCAAATTGGAAGGGAATGGAAGATGGGTATCGCAAGAATCGTGTTTTGCTAGGCATTTAGCTACAAACAGGGGCATATGGGAATGTGCATTATATGTAGATATAGAAGTATATGAGCTTTAATTGTGTGGGAGCAAGTAAAACAGCACTATTCATACAGTAGGCATATTTATTTTCTCTCTCTTTCCCTACATGTCTTCACCATAGAGGTTGAAAGTTAGGAGAGGAAGGAAATTATATAGAGGAAGAAATGCGATGGTGGTGCGGTCGTAGTTAAGAGACATCAGTGTTCCACATCCTCCCCACCCTGGCCAATCTCCAGTGGGATGACCAGCTGCACAGGTCTGCTGACGTTGGTACTGTTGGCGCTCTGGAGGATGACTGTCTGCACCTTTCTGTCTTGGCCAGGTCGCGTTTCATGGATTCGAGCCCTCTGCCACATGTGCCGTGGTCGTAGATTGTCCTGAAGTAACACAATATCTCCTACACGACATTCCATAGATCTTCCCTTAGGGTGCAGTACCTGGTGATAACTTCACAGGTCGAGGAGATACTCTTTCTTCCACTGCTTTAGGAAGTCTTCCTGCATTTTCTGCCTAAGTCTGGCTTCTTTTCTGAGGTTGTCTTGGGTGGTGGGCTCTGGACTGGTGGGCAATGCTGTCAAGCGTTCACCATTTAGAAAGTAACTTGGTGTCAGCACATCAGAGTCATCTTGAACGATTGGTCTAGAATTTATGGCGGCTTCTACTTCCACTAACAGCTTCTTCATTGATTTGGCTTTTACCCAACACCTTTCTTAGGTGATGTTTTACTGTTCCCACCAGCCTCCCCACCAAGCTGCCCGTGATGCGATGAATTTCCACGAGATACCGTTGTGGGCGAAGTGCTGACTTGTTTATTGGTCAGCAAAATCCTGACAGAGCTCTGCTAACTCCTTGCTAGCAGCGTGGAACGTCCTCGTGTTGTCAGAGTATATGGTGTGTGGGATTCCTCTTCTTCCGGAGAACCGTCTAAAGGCCATTAGAAACTTGTCGGTACTCATATCCGAGGAAAGCTCAAGATGCAGACCTCTGGTTGTTGTGCAGGTGAAGAGTACGATGTAAGCTTTCTGTATCAGGCTCCCCACCCTGACATGGAGGGGACCTGCGAAATCGACACCGGTGATGGTGAAGGGCTTAGTGGGTTTGAGATGGTCAGCTGGCAGTGGTGCTTCAATTTCTTGGCCTCAGGTGTTTTTCGCAATTTTGCAGAGCATGCAGTGGTGTAGTGCCTTCTTTATTGTCTGTCAGGCTCTGAGGATCCAAAATTGATCTCTCAGCTCTTGACAACACCATGTGAAGTCTTTGATGATGTAAACAAATGTATGTCTGCTGTATTAGCAATTTTGTGAAGTGATGTTGCCCATCACATAGGATTGGGTGACGCTGCTCTCTCGTTATCGGTGAAAAGTGTAGCCGTCTGCTGAGATGAATGAGTCCAGAGTCTGAGAATGGGTTGAAACAAGCGATTTTGGATTCTTCCTGTTGTGGTGTGTTGTTCCGAAGTGCACAAAGCTCGACAGCGAACGATTCATCTTGTACAGTCTGAATCCAGTAGGTATGAGCCGCCGCGAGTTCCGCCGCAGTCATTTCGCCTCGGAAGTCTCTCTCGACAGAGTAGTGATTCTTTGAAACGAAACATCCAAGCAGTCGTGTGTATCAACTTCCAGTAGGAACTGAATCTGATAGGATCTATCAATGAAGAATGAATTCTCAAAAGAAGAACTGGTTGGGTCTGTGGGCGTTTTTCTGCTGGCAGTGGGCTGCTTGAAGTGGGAAGGTTCTTGGGCCATTCTCGCAGAGGAAGAGATAGCCATGAAGGTCCATGCCACCATTCATCCAAAGACTTCAGTCAATCTGCTGTGATGCCCCTCAAAAGATGATCAGCTGGATTGCTATCTCCAGGGCAGTGTCTCCATTGCGAAGACGTAGTGCACGTTTGTATTTCCGTAACCCTGTTGCATACGAAGGTTCTCCAGCGGTTTGGGTCTTCACGTATCCAGCCTAAGGTCACCATGGAGTCAGTCCAAAGAGTTGCTGCTTGACTGTGGAACCCCATCTCCCGACAGTAATAGCGTAGCAGCCTGGCACGTATCAGTGCTGCGAGGAGCTCCAGTCGTGGTAAGATCCCCTTCTTTACAGGAGCAAGTCTGTTTTTGCTGCAGACCAGTTGGACCCTGACCTGGTCCTTACCCTCCGTTCTGATATATAGTGCTGCACCATATGCCCGTTCGGAGGCATCGCAAAAGACATGGATGTGAGAATCACCATCTTCCGAAGTGTGTACACAGCAGGGAATGTGTATGCATGATAAGGAAGGTACTGTCGCTACCCACGTGTGCCATTGTAGTCCAAGGTCTTGTGGCAGGAGTTCATCCCAGCCCTTCCATCTATCATGGAATAATCTTTTCCCAATGATGGAAACAGGCGATGCTAGGCCAAGGGGATCGTAAAGTATGGCCGCGGCTTTCAGCAAGTTCCTTTTTGTGGTGGGTCCCTTTGTTACCTTTGCTGTAATGACCTCATGATTGATGGAGAATGTATCAGTTTCTGTATTCCAATTGTCGCCCAATACTTGGGTTTCTGTGTCACTCTGTCCCTCAGCCATCCAAACTGTTTTTAACTGCGCAGAATTTGAGGTCCATTTTGCCATAGGGAGTCCAGTTTTTTCTCATAAGGGAAGTAAGCTCATAGTATGGTGCGATTACCTCAACCTCGTTTTCTGCCCCTGCAGCGAAGTCATTGACATATTTGCTGTTGACCATAAGGGCTTGGGGAAACATCTGCTTGTAACGATCAGCAAGCTCTCACAGCGTAGCGGCAAGCAGAAAAGGACTGCAAGTCAGGCCAAAAGGAAGTCTTTTGAAACGGTAAGTTGTTATGTCGCTTGTAGTTTCGTAACCATGTTCATCGTCGCCAACCAAAGGAATCTCCTTAAGTCCCTGTCATCTTGATCTAGGACAAGCTGTAAAAATGCCTGGTGGTTTTTCCAGGTACTGGTAACTTGTCATTCTCAGGTAGTGTGGGGTCTACCCCTGCTGCTATGCCGGCCTCTAAGTAGCCATCCAATTTGGGGAGCTCAATAAGAGTTCCTCTCTGTGAACCCGAGCCAGAAGGTCTATCCATCCTGCAGGATCAGCCTGCAGCTTGGACGTGAATTGTCTCTGAGCAACTTTGATTTAACCTGAGTCTGGCAGACGGTTTATCCATGAATCAGGAAGCTGCTGGGCATTCACTGCCTCTCTGGTTCGATGAATCTGGGTCAGAATTATAACCGTTCAGCCCTTATGTTGGTGCCACCTTCCTTCTCTTACTGTCCTTTTGGCCCCTTGGTTGCAGGTTGCAGCTGCTCCTCTAGCTGTTCCCTCTCAACTGTTGGTACTCCGAGTTTGCAGGTTGCTGCTGCGTCCTTCTTATCCAGTTGTGCTTCCCTTTTTTTTTTTGTTGTTGTTGTGGATAATTGTGGGATATGGGTTATCTGAATGCTGGGCGCCAGTAAGCTCACTATAAAGGCTTACATTTCAGGAAAAAGGGGGGATGAACCGGAAACTACAGGTGATAGGTACTGCATTCACACTAGAGCGATGAGATTCTGTCTCAGGGTGATTATGGGCCTTGCGTCAGCGGGAAAGATGAGAGTGTTTATAGCTAGGCACTAACACACACTGTTTAATGAGCAGATCTTGATATACATGTAACAGCACTTGTTCTTAATCCCTTAAAACACCTTGAAATCGCTCAAACGTTGGCAACCAGATCCCTGGCTAGTTATTTAGCAACTGCTTCTTTTAGCACAACACGTAGGAGTAACACTATCACTTAAACTTATAAGACAAAGTAAGATTCACATTAAATTTTGCAGAGTTATTCAGGGATTGTTCCCGTAACACACTTAAACATAATTCTGTTTTAACTTCGACTTTTTAAACCCAACTGCCAGTGACGCTAATTTTTCGACTGTACACTTGGAGAGTTGTTCAGAGACTCCTTTAGCAGACTGACCCTGCTTTGAAGCAAGAAATCTTCACAGCTTCAGCTCCGCCTCCAAGTTACTATCCTAATTATGGCTGATTGGAACAGTTCGAATTTGGGGAGTTAACCATAATTCTCACTGCTCCAATCACCTAGCTTTAATTTGGGACTTTGGACCTTAAAGTCCTAACGTCGTTTTTGACAGCTGCTTGAAAATTATACCAGTAGTGTGGGTTGCTGGCCTTCCCACTTTTGACTTACGGTGTTCAAAACCTGTCAAGTGTAACTTTACCGAAGGATCCCGCCGGTCAACTTTCGAACTGAATTTCCAGGAAAACTCTTCCTGGTCTTTGTAGCAGTGAAGCACGCCCTATTCTTGAAACCAAGAATCGGGCTAAGTCACCCTTGAATGTTCCTTACTACATCTTGTGTATAA